TAGCAAGAGCACAGGGAGCTCGTGCAACGATCCGTTTCGATACCTACGGGTTGTTGATTGCATATTGTACGCAGTTGTAGAAGCATTCTTTCTCAACAAGGGATGGAAGAGGAAACGTGCTGGGAATAAGCGAATGGCAGAGAAAGACAAGGATTTGTTAGAGGAGCAGGTTAAGGAACTAAGGAGAAAGCTGTCGATAGCAAAGGCCGAGTTGGATATGGTTAAGAAGAATGACGCGGTTACAAGAAAAGGGAGAAGGAATCGAAAGTTGCTGTTGCAAGAATGCAAGGTGATATCGGTTAAGGAATTAGTGAACTTAAAGGAAAAAGAAAAGTCAAGGTTAAGGAAGCTGAAGCGTATGCGCGGGAAAAGAAAACTGAAGAAGCTAGGAAGATAAACAAAATGTTCCAGCAAGACTCACGGTGGGTGTATTCGAGTTTGAGGGAGATGGCGAGCGAGCAGGCGAATAAAGAGAGACCGAAGTACGAAGCAAGGCGAGACCCAAAGCGGGGGAGGAGTTTTCGAGAATATCGAACAAGCAGTGAGTTACTGGAAGACACTGTGGGAGAGCGAGGGGACTGGGAAGAAGTCGGCAGAGTGGTTGGAAAAGGTCAGACAGTCAATCGCAGGTTGTGTACTAGAGGCATATAGGGGGGAGTGTGATATTGAATGTGATCAAGTTAAGAAGGTAATTGCTAAGAAACGGAATTGGAGTGCTCCAGGACCCGATAGGATTGCAAACTATTGGTGGAAAAGGGCGGAAATTTTACATGAGGGTGTTACTCTGTCTTTCCGGGAGATCGGAAGGGGTGAGTATGACGTCCCATTTTGGTTTACGCAAGGGAAAAATTCGCTGATTCCCAAACATGGCGTGTTTTCTAGCGATGACACCAGACCAATAATGTGCTTGAACACAATCTACAAGTAGTAAAAGTAATTTCTCCTGGGACCCATAGATGAGCACCTCAAGAAGTACGGTCTAATGCAGGGAGATCAACGTGATGCGAAGGAAGGATGTAGCGGAACTGGCGATAACTTGATGATCGATTGAATGGTTGGTCAGGATAGTCAGCGTGGGAAGCACAACGTGAGCCTATGACAGTGTGGATCTTGGATGGTTAAGGGAGATGTTTACGATGCATAGGTTCTCAACATGGCTTTGCAAGG